AGGGCCTCCCTCGTGGTCAAGGGGGTGAGTCATAAGTCATAAGTTATGGCAGCCGCTGCAGCCTGGATTTGATCCCGGCCAGGGAGGGACCCCAGGGCGCAGCAGCCCCCTCCCGTCTCCCCGCTGCCTCTTCAGCAGAGGGTCTCAGTGGATCCACCTGCTCCCCTGCTCCCCGCTCTGGCTCTGGGGCGTCCTCTCACCCCCGCACCTCTGGCCTGTGCCCCAGCTCTTGTGTGCATAAATAAATGAAATAAAAATAAATCCTTTTAAGATTGTGGGAGGGCCACATCTCTCTCCCCTTTCTACTTCGCTTCACTCCAGGGCCAGTCAGGCCAGGTGGTGAAAGGATAGGACACGCCGGCGGCCTCGGCACAGGAGACGCTCAGCCCCCGTTTTCACCCGGCCGGTGAGCTGCCGCCTGGAACCCTCAGAGAGGCCATCAGCAATGAGACTGGGTGTGGAGGGGAGGGGGGACGGGAGGGGAGGCTCTTTGGGAGACCTCTCCACCCGGAGGGGATCCCCTCCGCAGGGCCTCCGGGGGGGCCGAGCCCCGAGGCTCTGGGGCTTGAGAAGATGGAGACCCCGAGTGAGAGGGTCTGACCCAGCTGGGCAACATTACTCCTCCCCCATCACAGGCCTGCAGAGACGCAGCCAATCCCTGCCTCTGGGGCGAACAGGACCCCTCCCGGGGAGGGCCTGCCGCAGCAGCGGGGGGAGATGGGTGGGGGCCGGGCGCAGCTGCCCCCACGGCTGATGCTGGAGTCTGGGTGCCTCTGCCCTCCACGGGGTTCACTTCCAGAATCACCGGCTCTGGGCTGCGACCCAGGGGCGAGACCAGGTCACGTTTGAAAGGAAACTGGAAGGTGCGTGTGTGGGGCCGTCAGGGAGGGTGGCGGGTGCTCGGGACAGGCAGCCCTCGCCATGGCATGGCGCGGCTGAGGCTCGGGGTGCCACCGCGGGGCCTGCGCTCTGCCCGTGCCCAGCCTCCGCCCCGGCCGCTGCCTGTCCTCCCCGGCCTTTGCTTCCCTGTGCTCCCGGGGTGGAGACTTAATTGTCCTTTTAGCTTGATGAGGCCTTTGAGGGCACAACCAGGCGCCTCCAGGGCCGGGCCGAGGGAAGGCTGGCCAGGGGGCCCCCCAGGGGCGCCCCGAGAGGCGGGCCGCGGCCAGCCCACTGAGGACTCCAGAGAAGCCCGGAACCCAGATTTCTCTACGTGAACTCTCGGCTTTTCCAAAAATTGATAAAATATTCTTCATCTTTGAAAAAACCACTTTATTATGAAAAGCCTCAAACACACAGCAGCTCGCACACAGCGACCTCGTGTCAGGCGCCGCTGACTCAGGCCCAGCTCGTCCAGCCTTCGCCGTATGTGGCTCATCTCGTTTCTGCTTAATTATTTCTGCTTTAAATACATACATATTTTAATTTATTTATACAACAGGCCAGAGATGCAGGGGATGAGAGGCTTCCCCAGAGACAGAGCGGGAGCAGAGCAGGCCGGCTGAGACACACTGCCGAGGGGAGCAGCAGGCGGTCCGGAGTCTGCCTCGCCATGTGGGTCACTCCCGCGGCCGGGGACGGAACTCGTGCGGCCGTGGCTGCCATAGCTTCATGGTGCCGAGCCTCGACGCAGCGTGCCGCCAGGGAGAGCCCTGCTTTAAATATTTTAACAAAATCAAAGCTAATAAGTATTTTCATCCTCAAATGTTTTCATAGCCACCTATTCAAAATACATTTTCCTGAGGATAAAACACGAAAATTAACGTCTAACATCACCTAAGCTCTTTATGCAAGTTTCCTTCACTCTCGAGATTGGGGTGCCTCTTGGATGGCCGCTAGGGAGTCCAGCGCTCCTTAGATGAGTTATTCAAACTAGAGTTCAGCGGAGGCCCAGGAGCTCCATTTGGTTGTGTGTCTCAAGTGCCTGGAAGCTGAAAGAGACCCCCCACCCCCGCCCTGCCCGCCCTGGCTGCTGTTCTATGGTTTTAGCCCACATGGATCTGAAGAACCCAGCCCGGTGTCTGTCCACCCCTTATCTGTCTGGACACGTCTGATTGTTCCCTGGCTTGTTCCGCCATCCCCTGCACTCCAGAAAGCTGGACATCCGATCTCAGGACTTGATGAAAAGTAGATTAGCATTCTGGCGCGAATATATCCCAGGGACGCGGCTCTCTCTGCCTGACCCCTGACCCTGTCCCCATGTGTTGGCTGTATTCTCATCAGACTCAGCTAAGGGCGGGGAGATACCTCTCAGGGCCGCAGGCCACATCCCCCTGCGTCTCACCATGTCCTGTCACTGGCCTCTGCGCCGCCAGGGAGCGGCAGTAGGGCCACAGCAGCCCGGTGGTGCCTGCAAGCCTGGGTTGCCTGTCCTGGGGGCCTCCTCACGGCCTCAGGTCCCACACGAGCTTACTGCTCCCCAAAGAGTGGGCCCCTGTGCTCCAGGGCAGCCTCGCCACCCTCCCGGGGTCCTCTACCGCCTGCGGATGCCCAGCAGTTTCAGGCCCCGCAGTTCTGGGGCCTGTTTCTGGAGCCTTCTGGAGGCCTGTCTGCAGCTCACAAACTCCTTAACATACTACACTTTGGTTAACAAGTTGCTGCTCTGTTAGGTACTAGGATACAAGACAAATAAAACACAGCTCTTGCCCTCCAGAACTCAGTTGAGAAAGGAAAGCCAGCTCTTGAAGCCAGGACTTGAATACTACAGTGTGATACAGTGTGACGAGTAACAATACAATGACGCTTACTTCTGGTTCCAGACACATGAGTAGACACATCTGTTCTCTACTAAGGAAAGGGGAACACCCACCCTTGCCACACATGAGACCGAGGCTGGGGTCCAGGAGGGCTGCAGAGAGCTCTGGAGCCCCAAGGAGCTCAGGGCAGCGTCTCCTTCCTGTGCCTTTGATATCCAACTGGACACTGGCGACACTGGTCTGTTCATGGCATCCATCAGCCTGTGCATCCACCTGGGGCGCCAGTATCCCGGGGAGCCGGGACTCCTACCCCACCTGGTGGCCAGGAGGCCTAACTGCCGCAGCGTCAGTGACCTGCGCAGGGGAACCGGGGCGGCCACACCCAGCAGCTGGCGGCAGGTGCCCACTGCCCCCACCAGGTGACGTCAGAGGGGCCGAAGGGAGAGAAACAGGACTTCCATCACACCCCATCGCCCCCCCCACGCCAGTGTCAGTGCAGGCCACAGAGGGCTGGGCAGAAGTGGCACTTTTAAAAAATAATTTTTCATAGCAGAACTGGGGTGCAGCCCAGAGGTAGGGGGATGAGAGAATCCACCAGAGACAGAGGCGGGAGCAGAACAGACGGACTCACTGAAATCCACTGCTGAGGGGAGCAGCGGGCGGTCAGGGGAGGACTGCTGCGCCGGTGGTCCGGCCCTAGCTGGGATCAAAGTCGTGCGGATCGCTGCCTAGGGCCGCGCTCTACCGCGGCGCAGCACCAGGGTGGGAGGGCCACTCCTGTACTTCTATATCGCAAAAGTAATTCAGAAAGCCTGAGCTGTAGAGATTTCAGCAAAGGGGGGGGGGGAGTAACGCCATATCTGTCATCCAGAGGCAATCGGAGACAACTTCTTGAGCCCAGTGTTGTCCTGGCCTTGCGGAAACAGAAGCACGCGCAGGCAGTCCCAGAGCGCTGGCGGGGCGCCGTGGCTGGCGGCGCCGCGCGGTGGCTTCACCGACCGAACCTTCGCCGCGGGAGGCTCTCGCGGGGCGTCCTACGCCTTCGTCACCGCCGTTCACGCGGTTTCCACTTCCCTTCAGGTGACCTGAGCGCTGCGATGTACCTGTCTTCCACCTGCACCTGCGAGCACCGCATCCCGCGCCTCGGGGTACCGGGCAGAGGGGCGCACTTTCGATTTAAAAATTCTCTAAGGCGGCTCCCAGCCGGCTCGGCTCGAGCCGGCCCACGGTCCCGACCCTCGGCTCGGCTGCGGGGCGTGCCCAGCCCCCGCGTGCCCGCAGCCCGCGCCCACGCCTGCGCGCGGCGCCCCTCCCGCCGGGCTTCTCCGCGACACGCCCCCGGGCTCCATCTCTTTAAATTTTAAAACGTTGACGCCAGCCAATAAAAGGGGAGTTTCTCCCGGAACACCTCGCCCCGCCCACTGCCCCGCCCCCTACCCAGCCAGCCGGGGCGGGCCCCCCCGCTCAGCCAATCAGCGCCAAGGGTGGCCGGGGCCCACGTCCCTCACGCAAGGCGAGCGGCCAATGGGGGCCGACGCCGGCGGCCGGCTCCGCCAATGGCAGCAGCCCTCGGAGAGCGCGGGAGCCATTCGACCGGGACTGTGAGGGGAGCGGCGGATGGCGCGGCCTCCCTGAAGCGGGGCTCCGGCGGGCGG